GACCAGAGGATGTACACTGGTACAGATAGGAACTGGAAACACAGGGAATCCAGGACAGATGATCCCTTCAGGACCAGTGGTGAGAGTGGCGATACCTGAGAGTGGAGGGAGGGTGGGGTAGAGAGGGGAAACCAATTATAAGGATCTATATATAAAACCTCCTCCCTGGGGGAAGGACAACAGAGAAGTGGGTAAAGGGAGACGTTGGACAATGTAAGATATGACGAAATAATAATTTGTAAATTATCAAGGGTTCCTGAGGAAGGGGGGAATGGGGAGGGAGGGGGGGTAAATGAGGAGCTGATGCCAAGGGCTTAGATGGAGAGCAAATGTTTTGATAATGATGAGGGTAACAAATGTACAAATGTGTTTTATACAACTGATGTATGTATGGAATGTGATAAGAGTTGTATGAGCCCCCAATAAAATGATTTTTTAAAATTAATAAAATAAAAAAGGTTAAAAATAAAAAAAGTTTAACCTGTGAAGAAAGTTGATGGTGCCCAGCTATTAAAAGATATAGTATTTAGAGTTTTAAAGTCTTGAAGATAAACAAGTGGCCATCTAGCTCAGAAGCAACAAAGTCCACATGGAAGAAGCACACCAGCCTGTGTGATCATGAGGTGTCAATAGGATCAAGTATCAAGCGTCTAAGACCCAGAGTAAAACCATACCCAAGAGTGCAGGGGGGGTAGGGGGGAGCATGGAGTGGAGACCCAATGCCCATCTGTAGACAATTGGACATCCCCTAACAGAAGGGTCACAGGGAAGAGATGAGTCAGTCAAGGTGCAGTATAGCACCGATGAAACACACAACTTTCCTCTAGTTCTTTGGTGCTTCCTTCCACCCACTATCATGACCTCAATTCTACCTTACAAATCAGATTAGACCTGAGCATGCACACTGCTACAGATAAGAGCCTGAAACACAGGGAATCTAGGATAGATAAACCCCTCAGGGCCAACAAGGAGAGTAGAGATGCCAGGAGGATTAGGGGAGGGTGGGGGGAGAATGGGGGGATCAATCTAGACCCCCCTCCCAGGGGGACGAATAACGGAAAAGTGGGTGAGGGGCGACAGAGGACGATGTAAGATATGGAAAAAAATAATCTATAACTTATCAAGGATTTGTGAGGGAGGGCGAGCGGGGGAGGGAGGGGAAAGAAATGGGGAGCTGATATCAAGGGTTCAAGTGGAAAGAGAATGCTTTGAAAATGATGATGGTGGCATATGTGCAAATGTGCTTGACACACTGGAGGAATGTATGGATTGTGATGAGATGTAAGAACCCCCAATTAAAGTATTTAATTTAAAAAATAGTATATACGCTCCCCCCCCCCAAAAAAAAAAAGGTCTAACCTGAGGAGGTACAGAAAAAAAAAAGAAAAAAAAGGCCAGCTACACATTCCTAATTACTGAGGACAAGCAATGGCAATAGGGGGCTCACTGCACTATTCTTTCAGAAATGTTTGAATGTTCCCCTAAATGAAAACAAATACAATTTTAAAAAGAAAAGAAAACAAAATGAGTAAGCGGTAGCTGCTAGGGTTATTGATCGTTCATGGGTATGTGAGAATATAAGCATTCATGTCCGGTCCCTTTCCCAAAGCACCTAGTACTGCCCTGAAACTCCCCAAGTGCCTAAGTCTGTTGTACACCTGATCATGCCAGATTACTCCCATTACTTTTTAAATTATTTTGGCTGCTTCTGTTTACAAAATAAAACAAACCCCACTGCCTTTGGCTTGACTTTGACTCACAGGCTTCCAAGGGTCTCCTAGCTATAAGAGCGAAGGAAGCAAACTGCCACATCTTCCTCCCAGGGAGCAGCTGGTGGGTTTGAACCACAGACCTTTGGTTAACACTTTCCGTTAGTAACCAGGGGCTTACCTACTGCACCACCAGGTCCCTTTTCTTCCTGACAGAGCTGCTGAAAAGGTCAGGCCAGGCCCAGCTCTTCAGCCTCAATTCAGATCACTTTCCTCGTCATATTCCGCATTTTACTCTTTTTTCCTGTTCCTCAAATGAGTCAGACTCTAGCCTACCAGTCCGTTAGTACATGTCGTCCCCACTGCCCACTGCATGCTCCCTTTCCATTCCAGCCACCCAACCCCCTCTCATGTAATTTCCTCCTCCTCATTCTTCAGATTTCAGCTCAATCATTGTTACTTTCTCTAGGAAGTCTTCTCTCACCAGACTGCCCCTAAACTAGATTTTTCTCCGAATTGTACACTCACAGTCTGTCAAGTAGGGCTCCCTTCACAGGGTGTGGTGCATCCACACGATTAAGTTTATTTGAAGATTAGATGACTGCCTTCCCTGCTACACTTTAAGCTCTGTAATGATTACCCATCTCTCCATAATGATGACCACCACCACCACCCCTGGCTAGTTTTTTTGGGTTTTTTGCTGTTGCTCATCACTTTATCCCTAGCACCAGGTATGGACTATAGCAAATGACGGATAGATATTTGTTGCAAAAACAAAGGAGAAGATGATGATTCACTGATAAGCAGGTTCCACTGCTGATGCCACAGACCTCACCCCAGTCTGCCCCTTCTTCCAGGTGCCTCACGTAACAGCCCCAGGTGTCTGCTCACCAGTCATCGCCCACGTTGAAGGCATTCAGGCTCTTGGTGAAACCCTGCATATTGGTGGGGCTGACTCTCTGCAGGAAGTCGATGTAGTCTTCAGAGTGGAAGCGGCACATGTCGTGTTGGGAGGCCTGGTATGGCTTGAAGACCTCGGGATGGAGAAACAAGATGAACACAGGCAGGGTCAGCCCCATTCATGGGGCTGCGACTGCTCACACTAAACCCAACTCTGGGGATAGTGTAAAGTCACACACAGCCACCCCTACACTATGCCAATCCTTGTCACTCTAGGAAGCAAAGGTCTGTCAGAGCCTGAGGCAGAAAGACTCTGATAAGCTCCCTGAAAATCACTGGGCTTGATTCCTCCTTCCCACCTCTAGCCCCAATGGTGCCATGATCAACCTGTCCTGAGTCTACTCCTGGTTTTCTCTAATACTCATCTCCCAGGATTCTTCTTCATCAAATAAAATAGGGGGTGGGGTGTCATCACAACTTTCTAATTAAAGTGCAAGGGAGGTTCATATGCCCCTTTGGAAATTGGGAGAGAACAATGGTGTTTTTCCCTACCCATAAAATGCACACAGGTATATAAATAGGTCAATGATTTCAGGGAACTCATTGATTTATGTATTAATTTCTATGACCAATTCACTTGCCTGTGCCTCCTTACAAAGTGGACACACATTGATATTGTTGACCAATTCCTCTCACAATGCTTAAGGGTTGGGTCTATGATAATCCCAAATACAGCTATATATTCCAAGTGTGTGTGTGTGAGAGATGGAAGTTTGAATTGGATGAAGTTGGTATAAATGTTATAGATTGGAAAGGGGCTCTCCTGTCTGTCTCCCCACACACATAGACATTACACCCTGGCCTGTTGGGTCCTCCCTCTGGAGCTCTAGCATTAAAACTCAAAAAAACACACTCATTGTCAACGAGTCAATTCTGACCCACAGCGACCCTACTGAGACCAGTCACTCTTTCCGGCATTATCGAGGCAAGATGGGAAGGGGGAAGTTGCTCCTGGTGGCACCGTTTCCCCTCCCTTTTCCCACCTGAAGGATTAAGTCCTGCCCACCTGGCCTCAGGACGCAGTTCGCCCCACCCCTAACGCCCGGCGGAGGCAGCGTGACTCACGATCATTTTCTTATAGAGGCCGTAGTGCAAAACGAGGCTGTGGGTCAGTGCTAGGCGATGAGGCTTCATAGGGTGTCCAGCCCCTGGGGGTCGGGAGAAAAGAGTTCGTCAGTTTTCACTCCTAGAGTAGCAGCCCCGACCTCGAAACTCCTGCGTCTCAAAACCCCTCGCGCAAACCCTGATCCCTTACCATAGTGGAAGTTTCCCACGTCCGGGTCGTAGAAATAGGCCACGGTCTTGGCCATGGTGACCGCGGGAGCAGGCCCCGCGCCTCCGCCGCCCGCCCGGCCGCCAGCCCCACCCCCTGTCGTGCGTGCTGCGTAAGCACGCAGCCCGCCTCTGCGGAACCCGGGTCCCAGGCCCCGCCTCTGCGAGGCCACGCCTAGGCCACGCCCCTGCGGGGATTCCGCCCCTCCTCTGGGTTGGCCGGCTGTTCTGGGTAGAGGGGCGTGAGCGGCTATCAACTGTCCTAGTGTGGCAAGGACATTTCTTTCCCCCGAGGGTCAAAACCTCAGGAAACCGAAACATCTGTCCAGCCACCTGACCCCAAAGAGAGCAGACTGATCTCCGCGCCCACTTCACTAGGTGGCTCCAGAGAATCGGCCACGCTGCCACGCTTGGGTGGTTCTATCTGCCCTGCGGGGTGATCCCAGGCTATGCGCCCGGCGGGGGCATCACTGGGCAGGAGCCTCTCCAGGCGTGCGGGGTAGACCGTCCAGTGGGGAGCACCCCCGCCAGGCCGAACCGCACGTCTCCCAACCCGGACCCAGACGGCACCGCACTAGCCTGGAGGGGGGCCGGCGCAGTCACGCGCGCACCACTTTTGCGCTCCCCAGCGCGCACAGCTCACGCTCTCCGCCCCGCACACCTGGGCTCCGCCCCCTAGTCCCCGGCCGGCTGCAGGCGAAGGCATTTGGGAACCCAGGGGCGGCTGCGGAGGCATCACCTACTCCCTTACCTTCCCAGAACCGGACAAGTTCGGAGCCTGGGGCCGCCCGCACCAACCCACATTCCTCTCCATCCTTCCCTCCCCCTGCCTGCCGCGGCATCATCAGCAGCCGCAGCCGCAGCCCGGAGCCGGCAAGGCGGCCAAGGGGGGAGGGGGAGGAAGCAAGGGATGAACGCCGGGAGGGCGTCGGGGGCCCTGAGCCGGACTAGGACGCCCCTGGAGCCGAAACTCGAGCCGGAGCCAGAACCGCACCACCGGTACTGAGTGGGCCAGGTGGTCAGGGTGGAAAGAGCTGGGAAAGGGAGGGTGCGGGATGGAAGGCTGGGGAGGGGGCTTCAGAGGCCTGTCTCAGGCCGGCGCGGACGCTGACTCAGGAGCGACTCCTGGTGCCGCCAGAGAATCCCGTCCCATCTTGCGCTGCAGTGTCCTTGGGAGGGATAGTAGCATGGGGCCGAGCTGGAAAGGGGGAAAGCTCCGGGCGTCCGGGAAGTGCGACCAGGGTCCAGGAAGAAGACTTTGCGTAGCCTTCGTCGTCTGGCCCCCCTGCCCGGGCAGCACTTGGCAGCCTGGCAGCACCCCTGGCCCGGACAGCGCCCTGGTTGGGTAGTGGGTGGGGCCGGACCTCCGAGGCTTGCCAATTTGGGAGCCTGCCTCTCCCCACCATCCCCAGCTGCAGCTCCCTCCCCCCAGGAAGCGCCCTGGCCCGCGCTCGCCCCCCAGGGCCTCATGTCGGAACCACAGCCTGATCTGGAGCCGCCCCAGCATGGGCTGTACATGCTCTTCCTGCTCGTTCTGGTCTTCTTCCTCATGGGCCTGGTAGGCTTCATGATCTGCCACGTGCTAAAGAAGAAGGGCTACCGCTGCCGCACGTCGAGGGGCTCAGAGCCTGACGACGCCCAGCTCCAGCCCTGTGAGTCCGGAGCCTGAAACCCAGGCTCAGTCATCTTTCCCTTTGACCCCTCACCCATAACTTCTTCGGCTTTCCCTGGCCAGCCCAGAGGCCTAGTGATGCTTCCTTGAGTGAGCAAGTGGGGTGACACCACCCCAAAAGCAAGACTAGAGGCAGGAAGGACTTAAGACTCCCGTTGACCTCCGCACCTTTCCTGCCTGGCCCCTGAAACACTCCGTGCAGCATGAAAGCAGAGATAGAGGGATGTGTGTTGAGCCTAAGCCACAGGAGCTGTTAGATCATACCCACTCGGAGCTGATTCATTTCCCCTTTCTTTGTTCACTCTTTCACCCCACAGCTGAGGAGGATGACATGAACGAGGACACAGTGGAGAGGATCGTTCGCTGCATCATCCAAAATGAAGGTGGGTATCAGCAGGCTTCTTGTACCTCCCCTCTGGTTCTCTTGCCCTGACGGCCACTAATTCCATGTTTTCCTTCTGCCCCTCAGCCAATGCTGAGGCCTTAAAGGAGATGCTGGGGGACAGTGAGGGGGAAGGGACAGTGCAGCTGTCCAGGTGAGCTGGAAATAAGGTCCAGCATGACTTTGCTTCCTTTAGAGAACACGCTGTCTGTCCTCAGCAGTCCTCTCCCAGTCTCCTTGCATGTTGTGGGTGGATGGTGAATGGGAAGGCTGGCTCACCTAGAGTTTTGTAGAGACCCTGAGTCCTTCAAATCCCACCTCCCACCTGGATAGCAGCAAGCGAACACTTGCCCCTCATGCCACTCCTCTGGGAGAATCATTCTCTTTTCGCAAACAGCCCCTGGACAGGGAACAAATGGTCCGCTGACATTCTGATGATAAATCTTTTTAACGGTTTTATTGGCACTTCATCCACATGTTCTAACAGTTTGATATGGAGTTTATTAGAGAGAAGAATGTTGGGGTCTTGGGAAAGTGGGGTGGTTTAAGGAGCATGCTGCAAGCAGGAAACAACAGGGAGGGAGATGAGACTGTCACTCTTCCTCTCCCTGTCCAGTGTGGATGCCACGGCCAGCCTGCAGGACGGTGCCCCCTCCCACCACCACACAGTGCACCTGGGCTCCGCAGCCCCTTGCATCCATTGCACCCGCAACAAGAGGCCCCCACTTGTCCGTCAGGGCCGGTCCAAGGAAGGAAAGAGCCGCCCCCGGCCTGGGGAGACCACCGTGTTCTCTGTGGGCAGGTGAGGACAGAGCGCTCTAGGGCAAAGGGGGTAGAGGCAGGGGCCCAGTGGGAACTCCTGCAGGACCCCCAATGGACCTGGCTCTTTCCTCCCGGACTGGGAGCTGCAGCAGGGGTCTGGCTGCAGTGTCCCCTCCCCCTGAAGTCAAAAAGGCCTTCCCTGCCCAGGCCAGAGGGAAATGGCCACCACATCGGGGTATCGCTGATTGGAGGGGAGGACATGCAGCCTGAGCTGGGTCGTAAGCCTCCATGTTCCCTTTCCTCCAGGTTCCGGGTGACACACATTGAGAAACGCCATGGGTTTCATGAGCACCATGATGGCTCCCCCACAGACAGAAGCTGGGGCTCTGGTGGGGGGCAGGATCCAGGGGGCAGTCAAGAGTCTGGGGGAGGGCAGCCCAGGGCAGGGGTACCTGCCACAGAGAGACTGCCCCCCGAGAGGCCACCCCAGCCTCAGCCCCTAGCCAACCCCCCAGTGCAGAATGGAGGTCTCCGGGACCGTGGCGGAGTCCCGTGTGCACTTGAGGGGAACCCTGGAGTCTCTGCAGAGCCAGGGCTAGTGGCTGGAAGCAGGGGCCCAAGCCCAGGGCTGCCCAGTCAAGAGGCAAATGGACAGCCAACCAAAGTGGACACCTCAGACGACCAGGTATGAAGACAAGGTCAGGGCTGCAGCAGGACGGTGGTGGCTGAGCTTATTGTCCCCTACTCTGGGGACTTCCTATTATCATATGTTGACCCCTCTCTTTTTCCTCAGGTGTCCCCACCGCGGGGAACAGGAGGTGTGTGAGGTGAGTCTGCCTGGAGCCTGAGACAGGGCATCTCGTCTTCCTACCCCCTGCTCAAGCCTGTCAGCCCCCTGGGCCCCCCAGGGATAACTAGATTTTATCCTTTGCTACAAATTCCTTGGTTTGGCCCCAGGGGAGTGAGCATGTGCTCCAGGGAGCAGATTCTGGAACATGGAAGTGAAGGGGCCCTTGGCCACCAAGAAAAAGTTGTGGCAGAACTCAAATAGGAAGCAATGGTATTACCTTCCCTCTTTCAAGCCTCATTCTTTGCTGCTGCTGAATGAACTACCAACTGACGGAGCCAGGGGTGGGTGGGCATAAAGCCCCTCCCTTCCACTGGACAGCACTGCCCTGGCTGAGGGACCAGCCTTACATCCACCTGGAGTTGCATGGTCTCAAGCTGGGGAACCTCGGGAGAAGTGCCCCCCCAACCTACTCCTCAGTCTCTTTCCCTTCCCTTGCCTGTCAACAGGCCACCTGCCTGGCTCCCCAAGTTCCACACTCCACATGCTTGAGCGAGGCAGCTGGGAGCAGGCCCCTGCCTTTGGCGGACCCCTAAAGCAATAGCACCGTAGGCTGCCTGCTCTCGTGGCACAAGAGGTCCAGGCCTTGGCTTGGACTTCCTGCCCTTATTCACTGTCAATAAATCTGCTCAGACCATTACATGTGCTTTTGCATACTGGCTCCAGTTCCTGATTCCCAAGGCCTCTCTCTGCGCTTGCCCTCCCACCCACCCCCAGCCTCAGGGGCACTGGCCTCCAGGGTAGGGTGGGGCCCAGAGCCAGGTTGGAGATAGAAATGGGCAGAACCAGTCCAAACTTCACAGGGGATGGGTTCCAGCCCCAGAGCAATCAGGGCCAGGGTAGATGGAGTTGCCGCCCTAGAGACTGGGTGGTGGTAGAAAAGAAAGGAGTAGCCCCCCACCCCCACCCCCACCCCTGACAGATTGTAGGAGGGGAATGGAGGAAAGGAGTGGGGTCCGGCCCGGGGAATGGGGGAGAGTCCAGCTTTTGGCTGTGGTGTGCAGGATCAGTGAGAGAGCAGTATCTGACAGCATGGGGCTGGGGTAGCAGCATCACTGAGGGGCTATGAGCCCCCATGCTCTCAGGTGAGGGGTTCTGGGTGGTCAGGATCCGGGGCCTTAGCTGGCGGAGGTGGGGGTGGACGCACCTGTAGGGAAACCCACGGTTAGTGCTCTGAAGTGTCCTCTTGGGATTACTCACTCACTCCCTCAGCCTTGAAGACAAAGCAGAACAAGTTGGAATGACCCCTCGCCACAGTCTCCTTCCACAGCAGGTCCCTTACCGGCCTTATTCGAGGCACCATCTGGTCCAGGGGCCCAGGGCAGTTGGGGAGTTGGTCTGTAAATAAGAACAAGTCAGTCAGTCTTTGGTCTTTGTTTTGTTCTCTGTTGTATCTCTAGCACTTAGGCCAGTGGCCTTCTTCAAACATTTGTGGAATCAATGAATAGTCCCCAACCTTGACCATAACATCCAGCAGCCCATCCATCCTCCAACACACCCCAGCACCTGCCATATACTCAGCCCTGCTCTAGGTCCCGGACCAGGGGAGGTGGGATACAGCACCCCCACACTCAAGGGCTGTCAGGAACCCAACACATGGAACATCAAGAGACACAAGAAATGGCTGAGTGCTAAATCAATCCATGTGAACTTGGGCTGCTGGAGAAAGGGGGTGCTTTTTTTTTTTTTTGCTGGGCAGGGGGTCCCGGAGTAGGGAGGGAGTCTCAGTGAAGAAAGGGGACGTCCCAGAAGGTGTTAGGAAAGGTAGACATTGTGCCTGCAGGACTCAAGAACTAATTGGGACCAAACAGCTACTCCGTGTGTGTTTGTGCCAGGCACAACGCAGTGTACTCCTGGACACCTCACACAGCTCAGTGCAGCCCAGACAGGTCAAACATCCACCCCAAAGGACACACTAGGGAGTGATCAAATGGGCTGTGAGCCAATGGGCCCAGTTCCAAAGCCCACACCCTCCTCCCATCTGGCTGCAGTAGGCCTGCAGTGGCGGAGCCTCCTGGCGGGCAGAGGAGCAGAGCATGGCCTCAGAGTTGAGTCCCAAGCTTCCTCCTTTCTGTCTTTCACCCTCCCAGGGCCCCCCATTCCCTCAACTCACCGCCAGGCAGGATGGGTGCAGGGGGCCCATCCACGACAGAGGTGGGTGCAGGAGGGGAGAAGCTCGGCGGAGAAGGGGATGGCAGCATCTGAGGGTGGGGGTTGCACAGTTATCCCCGGGCTGTGGGAAGCTTTCGCCCACTTCTCTCATCCCACCTTCAATTCCTGTCCCGTCATCATTCCCCAATCATACAGGAGTGGCCAAGTGCTTGGCTCTGGGTGGGGGTTGGAGCTAGTACCTATTTCAGTTGGGCACTGACACTATGCCCAGTGTTCTGTGGGCACTTTGCATGCCTTAGTTCATCCAGTCCTTACTACCACCTTGGGAGGTAGGCATTCTTATGGTTCCTTTTTTTCCAAGAAGACACTCAGCATAGATTAAACCATCTGCCTAAGATGGCAAAACCAGTGAGTGGCATGTTCCTGGTTAGACTCCCACACCTGTGTAATAATAGTAACCTACTGCCATGGAGGCAGTCTGACTCCAAGGGCTTCTGAGGCGGTCATCTCTATGGAAGCAGACTGCCACTACACCTTTTGTCCCGTGATAGCAGCTGGCAGGTTTGAGCCACTGACCTGTCTTCAGTTACCAGCGGAGTGCTTCACCACTGCACCACCAAGGCTGCTGCTCATAACAAGAAACCCCTAAGCCAAACCCACTGGTGTTCACTTGATTCTGAGTCACAGCAACCTTTTGGGACAGAGGAGAATGGCCCCAGGGGTTTTGCAAGGCAGTACTCTTTGTGGAATGGGATTGCTGCATCTTTCTCAGCTGATGGGTTTGAATCACTCACCTTTTGGTTAGCAGCCAAGTGCTGAAGCACTGTGCCCCTATGGATCCCTCATGAGAACAGCTGCTCCCCTACACTGAGGCCCCTCCTCTGGGTCACACACTAGGGGCTACACCTCCATGAACTGCAATCATCATGGTGAGCCTACTGAAAGAAGTGTTTCTGTCCCCATTTTATAGGTGAGGCAACCAAAGCTCAAGGTGGTTACATTGCTGGCCAAGGTCACACAAAGTAAGGATGTGAATTCAGGCCTGTTTAGCATTTCAGCTGGAGAGCTCTGGAGTGCTATTCTAGGCTGCCTTGTTTTCCCTTTTCGTTGCCTAGCCAATGGAGATGGGGAGGCCCAAGCCACACAGGAGGGAAACTTGGGGAGGAGACGGGCCTACTGAGGTGGGTGGATCAATCCAGAGGTGCCTGGGAACCCCAGGGGAAGGAACCTTACCTCTTCTGGGTCTGAGGGCTCAGGGAGTCCTGGGGGGCCAAGCATCTCCTCCACCAGCAGGGAGGGGAAGACCCCGACATGGCCCCCAAATTCTCCCCTCCAGAAGCCATCATCCACTCCGTCCTGGGCCCGGGGCAGCAATCGAATGAGCGCCCCTTCAGGGAAACTCAGCTCCTCTGTGCTCTGTGCTGTGTACGTGTACAGGGCCCGGGCCAGGAAGGCTGCAGAAGCCCAGGAGAGAAGGTGAATGGTGGAAGTGGGGGGCCAGAGGCCATTGCCACATCCAAGAATCCCGGACCCACAATGTCCCTTTCTTACCTGTGGGCTCTGCTCCAGACAGATTGTTGCTGTCCTGGCCCCTCTCAGACAGGGAGAGGTTCGGGAAGTTGAGATACCGCTCCGGGACGAAGCCTACCTCGCCATGTTGGTTCCGAGCCTACTTGCCCAGAGATGTGAACAGATACCAAACTGGCCTCTGCAGCCAACAGCCCTGGCTCTTTTCCACACCATCTTTTAGATCTGGTTGGTTAGGCCCTTAGGGTGGGGGGCAGAAGGGGCGGGCAGGGGCAGTCACAGAGAGGTCCCTCCCACTGCCCCCTAACCCCAGGGTCAAAGCTCTGGGCCCCATACCCACCTTGACCCATTCATCCACATCTCCTTCCTCTATGACCTCCAGCCACTCGCCTTCCTTAATGGTTAGCTCATCCTCATGCCCAGCCTGGGCCCCAGAAGGAAGGAGTCAGGGGGTTGGCCAGGCCCGACCCCTACCCTCTGAGGCTCCCACTCTCATTCCTACCTGATAGCCAAACACCACATGTGCAGAGTAGGGGAGGGGTCTGGTGGTCATGGCTGGGGGGACAGGCTCCTCAAAGAGCTCGCCCGCCTCCTCACATTCCTCAAAGTCCGAGAGCTCCGTATCTTCAGCCTGGAGGGGGCCAGAGAACAGACATAATCCCGGGCTATCTCTCAGGTTTCAGCTGTTTCTCCAACTTCTCCATCTTACCACTAAAGGATTCTGGATGATCCTTCAGAATAACTGCCCACCAACCCCAGCCTACGTCCCCCTCGGTTTGCTCTGAATCACCAGCAAAACCACCACCAAACTGAAAACAAGTCTCTGCCAGCAAGTCGATGTAGACTCATAGTGGCCCGACGGGACAGAGAACAGCTGCTCCCTAGAGTTTCTGAGGCTGCAAACCTTTATGGGAGCAAAAAGCTTCGTCTTCCTCCTGCTGAATGGCTAGTAGTTTGAACTCCTGACCTTGCAGTTAGCAGTCCTGTGCCACCAGGACTCCAAAATCACTACCACAGAGCAAAAAAGCACCATCCATAGGAACAGAGTTATATGATTGCGTGCTTCCCACCTGCCAGGGTCAGTGTAAAGTATCTTATGGTCATTGTCTCACAACTCAGCACCAATTTGCATACCTATGTATCTTATTTTACTTTTGAAGACATTGAGGCTCTGAAAGATTAAGTCAGAAGATCACACAGCTAGTGGGCTCGTGATGTGGCTAGTGTTCAAACTACTTAGTCTGCCTGTAGAACCTTAGTCCTTAGCCACCATGCTATCTATCTGCACGCATGCTGCGTGTCTTCGGGCTCGCTACGGCAGGAAATGTGCAGAGCGCTGTCCATGACGGGTTTCGTTCCAGCCTCCCAACAACCCTGTGAGCTCTGTCCTATTGAGACCCCATGCTACTGAGGCTCCTCCCCCCGGGGACTTCCATCCTCTGGGGTCTTCATGGGGAGGGAGGCTTCACGGGGCTCACCGTCGGGGAGAGGTCCTTCTGGGACAGCCGGGCCTCACTGAGCCGTCGTTCCTGCTCCACCGCAGCTTGGGCCTGCGTCATGGCTGGCTGCAGCCAGCACTGCACATCCAAGCCAGCCCCCTGCAGCAGCGCCAGCCGGGCAGCCCCCTTCACCTGACTCACCTAGCACAGGGAACCGGAGTCAGTCAAGATCACAGTCTGGTTGGTGATTGGAGACACAAGCTAGGACTCCGCTTTACCTCCCTTGGCCCTGCCATCAGATAGCCAGTGGTTCTCAACCTGTGGGTCGCAACTGCTTTGGGGGTCGAACGGCCCTTTCACAGGGGTAGCCCAATTTATAACAGTAGCAAAATGACAGTGGTGAAGTAGCAACGAAAATAATTTTATGGTTGGGGGGGTCAGACAACGTGAGGAACTATATTAAACCGTCACGGCTTGAAGAAGGTTGAGAACCACTGAGACAGACGAACAGAGGCAAGAGAGGGTGGGGTGATCACAGAGGTTAAGCTCCTAACTGCTGGTGGAAAGGTCAGCGGTTCAAACCCACTAGCCAGGCCGTCTGCTCCATGTGCATGGTAAGCATTCATACAGCTATGGGTGGGGAGGGTTGATGTGGGAGCACTGACTGAGGAGGTGGGCCCCCTGTGGGCCTAACCCTGGGGCTGTGCCTCACCTGGGCTCTCCGGATGCTCTCCCTCACTTCCTGCAGCCGCTGCTCTATGCCCGGAGCCTCCCGCTCTGGGGCCTGCTGCCGCCTCTGCTCCAACCGCTGCAGCACCCAGTTCCCGTGGTTCTGGATCTTGTAGTCTCGGGCAGCTCGGCTGGTCCAGCGCTGGATCTCTTTCTCCAGGCCCCTCACCCCAGCCACGTCTCCTGCTCCCCCTTCCAGCTCCAGAATACACACCAGGTCAGTCCCTGCTGGCTGGAACTGCTGAG